TTTTGGGCTTCTTACCTGTTTCACCTCAGAAAATTAAAGGAGGGGGTGGAAAAGAGTATTTTCCCTGCTTGTGAGATTCTCAAATCCTCCAGCACCAGTAAGTATTCGGCAATTCAGTTCAATTCTGACACTCTCTGAGTTGTAGCATCAGATCCCACAAGTTAAAGGGCTCAGTTCCACCAGGCTTGCCCCATTGCAAATGTTAGCTGCAAGTGTCTGCCCAGGCTACCTGCACTTCTGCATGGCTGACACAATTCAGGAGTTCCCACAATCCCGACCCTCGGGTTCGATAATTTGCTAGAAATGTCTCATAGAACTCATAAAAACACTTTACTTATGTTTACTAGTTTGTTATTATAAAGGATACAATTCAGGAACAGCCAACTGGAAGAGATGCACAGGGCAGGGGATGGGAGCTTCCATACCCTTTTGTGGTATTCCATGTTCCCAGCACTTCCGTGTTCATCCACTGGGAAGCTTTCCAAATTTCACTATTCACAAGTGTTTATAGAGTTTAATCTTCAGGCTCCCCTCCTCTCCCAGGGGGTGGGTGGGTGAGGCTGAAAGTGCCAACCCTCTAAACATTTGGTCTTTCTGGGGACCAGCTCTGTCCTGAAGCCATCCTTGGGTCCCTATCCTAAGTTACCTCATTAGCATAAGTCAGGTGTGATAGGAAGGTGCTCATTATGAATAACAATAGACACTCCTATCTCTCAGGAAATTCCAGGGGTGTTAAGAGCCCTGTGTTAGGGATTGTGGGCAAAGACCAAATATATTTTTTCTTATCCCACTCTGGTAAATATCTCAAATTACTAGAAACCTTTATTGAACTCTCAATGTACGCCTCCAGTTTCAACACTGAACCTAAGCCTTGTCCTTGGTCCTCTGAGGCCCGGGGTTCCAGGAGACTCTTTTTTCTTTCTTTTTTTTTTTTTTTTAAAGATTTTTATTGGGGAATTGGGGGGATGGGAACAGTGCTGGGGAATTGGGGAAAGGGGAACAGACAAGTTGCTGTCGTTTTGTTCTTCAATCTAGTTGTGGAGGACGTTGCTTCACTGGCCCAAGTTGGCACCATCATTGCGCTCTTCTTTGGCGAGGCAGATCAGTCGCCGGCCTCTGGATGGCTGCTCACTGCGGCTGCTGGCCGCTCACGCTGGCTGCTGGCCACACACGGTAGCCCATGGCAATCCACTGCCACAGGGACTGCAGCCCACGCCGTCGCCGGCGACTCATGGCAGCCCAGCTCCAGGTTGAGCTGTTGTTCAGCATCTTAGCTGTGGAGGGCAGTGTCACTGGCCCTCACATGTGGGATCCGAACCGGGGCCCTCTGGCATCCCAAGCGAGTTCTCAACCATCGCGCCACTCGGCCGGCCCCAGGAGACTCTTAAATTCTCTTTTGCAGCCTGTAAGCCCCTGTAGTAGTTAGGGTACAGTTTAGGCCTCTGTGACAAAGACACCCCAAAATACACTGCTTGAAATGTATGATAGAAGTTTATTATTCTTTTGCATAGAAATCCAAGTAGGTGGTCCAGAGCTGGTTTGGCAGCTCCGCATTGTTGGAGAACTTTGCTCAGGCTTTGTTCCGTATCCTGCATGCCTCTTCTCTCCAGGTTGGCTCTTCCAGCTACAGTCATTGCACTTTCATTCCAGTCGGGGTGTGTGGGGGGGCAGAATGGGAGAGGCTTTGCCCTTGGCCTTTAAGGGCATAGAGCTGCACAAATTTTAGCTCCCCCCCATTGGTTAGAATGGGTCCCATGGCCATCCTGGCTGCAAGAAGACCAGGAAATGGAAGTTTTAACTGGGTAGCCTTGTACTCAGCTAAAACTGCTATTCAGAAAGGGAGAACCGCTGTTAGAAGACAGCCCTGACCCCAAATAGCCACGGCAATCCTGAGAAATAAGAACAAAGTCGGGGGGATCACACTTCCAGACATTAGAACATACTACAAGGCCACAGTAATCAAAACAGTATGGTACTGGCATAAAAATAGGCACATAGATCAATAGAACAGAAGGGAAAGCCCAGAAGTAAATCCAGGCATATACGGGCAGTTAGTCTATGACAAGGGAAGCAAGAAGTTACACTAGGGTAAAGATAGTCTATTTAATAAATGGTGCTGGGAAAATTGGACTGACACATGCAAAAAAATGAAACTGGACCACCTCCTTACGCATATACAAGAACAAATTCAAAATGGATTAAAGACTTAAATATAAGACCTGAGACGATAAACATCCTAGAAGAAAATATAGGGTCTAAATTTGCAGACATTACCCTGAGCAATATTTTTACTGCTACATCCCTACGGGATAGGGAAGTAAAAGAAAAAATGAACATATAGGACTACATCAAACTTAAAAGTTTTTTCAGAACAAAAGAAACCATCAATAAAACAAAAAGGAAGCCTACTGAATGGGAGAAGATATTTGTCAACGAGATATCTGATAAGGGATTAATATCCAAAATATATAAAACACTCATGCAACTCAACACCAAAAAAACAAACAACCCAATTAAAAAATAGGCAGAGGATATGAAGAGACATTTCTCCAAAGAGGACATACAGATGGACAACAGGCATATGAAAAAATGTTCAACCTCACTTAGCATTAGGGAAATGCAAATAAAAACCACAATGAGATACCACTTCACCCCTGTCAGAATGGCTATCATCAATAAGTCAACAAACAACAAATGCTTGGGAGTTTGTGGGGAAAAGGGAACCCTGGTGCACTGTTGATGGGACTGCAGACTGGTGCAGCTACTATGGAAATCAGTATGGAGGTATCTCAAAAATCTGGAAATGGAACTACCTTATGACCCAGCAATCCCACTCTTAGGTATTTATCCAAAAAAACCAAGACATTAATCCGAAAAAATATATGCACCCCTATGTTCATTGCGGCGCTATTCACAATAGCTAAGACTTGGAAACAACTGAAATGCCCATCTGTAGACGACTGGATGAAGAAACTATGGTACATTTACACAATGGAGTATTACTCAGCTATAAAGAAGAAGGAAATAGTACCATTTGCAACAATATGTATGGAACTAGAGAACATTATGCTAAGTGAAATAAGTCAGTCAGAGAAAGACAAATACCATATAATCTCATTTATACGTGGATTCTAAAAAACAGAATAAATAAGAAATGTAAACAGGAATAGTCTCAGAGACACAGAGGAATAACTGAGGGTTGTTAGTTGGGAGGGGTGGGGATGAAGGAGAAGGGGAAGGGATGAGACAATACAAATTGGTAACTACAATATGGCCTCAGGGATAGACAAGACAGTCTGGGGAATAAAATCAATAGTGTTGTAAATATTTTTTAGGGGACCAGATGGACTCATGTCTTGTTAGGGAGACCACTTCATAGTTGGTGTAGAGGCTGGACCATCGCACTGTATATATGAAGCTGATGTTGAATAAAAATGTATGTCAACTATAATTATATATACATATAGTCACGGGACATGGAGTAGAGAGTGGGAATGGAGTCAATGGAATTGTAATAGATAAGCATGATATCGGGGGTGGGAGGGCAGTAGATGGGGGAGGGGGGTTGTTTCTGTGTGAAGGGTAAAAAGGATAACTATTGCATTGTTCTGTACACCTGAAACTAACAATAAAAAAAAAAAAGAAGAAGACAGCCCTGCCCTATCCCCACCATTCATGGTTTATTTAGAATTTGTTTTCCTATCTTGGGAAAAAGATGGAAATAACATTGTGACTGTTGATGTTTTTCTAAAGTAAGCAATTTTTGTATTACTGAAACAAAGGAAACATGGTATTCAATGAAACAAGAGAAACACTGGAAATGTACCTTCGGAAGTTATTTTTTCTAAAAAATGTGTCAGTTTGCTGTTGTTTATTGTTGCTTCTAAAAAATAGAGAGGGAGTTATCTGCTTATTGAACCTGCCCCAGATAATGAATGGAATTATGATTGGACCTTACCACGTCCAATCATTTCTCTTCTAGGAAGGTGGAAAAATGGATCAGAACAGCTCCCTGCTTAGAAATGGACGCTGTTGTGTCCCAACTCTTTGTGTACAGGTTATGGGAAAAGGAAGGAATCTCATAGCAGAGTGCTAGAGTCATGAGGTAATGTCTGAATGCTGTGCGGTTTTGGATAGAGAGTAAGGGGCCACAGAAAACCCTTTGTGACTAGTCTCTATGTCTCTGCCGTGGTACTCAAGAACCAGAATTAGGCCAAAGTCACAGAAATGCTGTGGCAAAGGTCTGATGAACCCAAGTGGTTCGTTTGATTCTGTGGAGGCAAAGCAGAGGCTCTATAGCAGGTTAGGCTTTCTAGAAGAGGGGTTGCAATTAGAACTTATGGGTTGGGGTTTATTTTCTTTTATTAAAATGAGACAACTATAAATATACTTATAGTTTTAAATATATATAGTTTGTAAATATACAAAATTGTTTTATATTATTATTTTGTAAAAATGATATTTACAGCAACTGCTCAAATATATACACTTTTAACTGATTAAAGGTTTCAATGTGACCATTAAGAAACATGTATGGGGTCGGCCGAGTGGCGCGATGGTTAAGAGCTGGCTTGGGACGCCAGAGGGCCCTGGTCCGGATCCCACATTTGAGGGCCAGTGACTGCCCTCTACAGCTAAGATGCTGAACAACAGCTCAACCTGGAGCTGGGCTGCCGTGAGTTGCCCGCGACGGCGTAGGCTGCAGTCCCTGCTGCAGTGTGTTGCCGTGGGCTACTGTGTGTAGCCAGCAGCCAGCGTGAGCAGCCAGCAGCCACAGTGAGCAGCCCTCCAGAAGCCGGCGACTGATCTGCCTCACCCGGGAAGAGCGCAATGATGGTGCCAGCTTGGGCCAGTGAAGTAACGTCCTCCACAACTAGACTGAAGAACAAAAGGACAGCAACTTGTCTGTTCCCCTTCCCCAATTCCCCAATAAAAATCTTTAAAAAAAAGAAACATGTATGTACAGCACTATGAAATATCTTTATTTAAGAAATTCTAAAATGTTGCATATATTTTTCTTTATAGCCTATGCTGTTCAGACACCTGAGAGTGTGCCTCCAGCTGCAGCCTCGGAGGTGTATACGAAAGCTTTGGCTGTTTGCCACGGACCTCTGGACCACTATGAGTTTCTGATCAAAGCTCATGAGCTAAAGGACGATGAACATCAGAGAAGAGTCATACAGTGTTTGCAGAAATTACACGAGGACCTTAAAGGATACAGTATAGAGGCAGAAGGCCTTTTTTCAAAGGTGAGGTTTGTGTGACACTAAAGATTGAACAGTTAAAAGTGTAAGCATTTTGTAACATGGATTAAATGCAGCTGGGTACAATCATGAACCAGCTTGAAAATTTCACACCAGTTCTTTTAAACCAGCGGTTCTCAACTTTCCTAATGCTGCGACCCCTTAATACAGTTCCTCATGTTGTGGTGATCCCCAACCATAAAATTATTTTCATTGCTATTCTATAACTGTAATTTTGCTACTGTTATGAATCGTAATGTAAATATCTTTTTGTTTTCCGATGGTCTTAGGCGACCCCTGTGAAAGGGTCATTTGACCCCCAAAGGGGCCGCGACCCACAGGCTGAGAACCGCTGCTCTAAACAAGCTCTGTTGGATCCCATATTTGGCCTATTGATGTCCGACAGCTTTCTCTAACCTGGGAGGGGATTCAGATTGTTTCATGTTTAGGTAGTAATTGATGCCATCCAGTCAAAATGAAAACTTCTGTGCAATTCAAAGCTTTCCCCTTTCTCTTGCTCAGGCATGGCCCAGGATCAGCAGTAGACAAAGGGGAGTGGTTTGTTCTCCTCCTTTCCCTCCTCCTTTCTCTGTTTGCCTGGCTTCTTTAGGGCCGGAATGAGAGGGATGGAAGATTAGAGTGAAACAGCAGTATTAGGTGACCAGTTAAGGGTCTTTGGTGTGGTAATGCTGACCTGCCAGCTCTTTGTTGAGAGGACTCTCTTGAGGACCTCCCCACTGCTCCGTTCTTTGACCTCTTATGATTCTAGGGAAACATCTCATATCACTGAATTCTGCCCTTGCACTTGGCCTTCTTGGGTGGGGTCCTTACAGGACAGCTCTAGCCAGCTCATCTTTTATGGTGTCCACTTAGGCCACAAGAAGCATAACACCTCCTTTCTCCAACCCCTACTGCATGGGCAGCTTCAGTCAGCCTTCTGCCCTTGGACTTCTGCAGATAAGAAGCAGGCACAAACAAGTCTCTGTCTTTGTCTTGTACACTCCCATGATCCTGAGGACACATGTCAAGCTCTTCCATGAACTTTTCCATACCCTGGTTTGGTAGCTGCCTCATCTAAGCAAGCATTCCAGCTGGGGAGGGGAATGCCCATCTCATCCTGTATTCAATCCTCATCTCTTAGATGCTTCTCTTGGGATATCCCTGAACTTGGCATGAGGTTTATCTGTGGGAAATACTACAGCATTTCTTACACAGCTAACTACTTTCTACCTTGATCACTTTGGTTTTAGGGCTATTTTTGCCTTTTTTGGTTTTTTTCTTTTTAAGTAATTCCTGCATGGATATGACTAGAGCCTCTCTTCAGAGTGTGGGAGGAACTTGTCTCCCCTTGTCCTTAACTTTGAGCTTTGGCTGAAATTTTGAGATGCCAGGAAAACTCCCATTCCTTATCCCATTATATAAGTCAATGTCATCAGTGGTGTCATTGTCAAGTTATGATATTAATAGTAATAAGAGTTAGAATATGGTTTAATCTAAGAAATTAGTTTTCCTTTGATTGGCCAAATCACCTCCCCCACTCTGCTCCCACACACAAATATTTGCTTATTATAAGGTCTTTAGAAGAAAAGTACTGTATAACATGTGTTAATAGTACTTTACTTAAAAACCCTACCAAAAGTAATTTTACTTTTTAGAAAGCTCTGAAAATATAATTAAGTAGATTTATTTTTATATAAAGAGAAAAGCATTGTGTTAGCATCTTTTGGTTAAAAGGATTATAGAGATTCATTTAGGTCTCAGAAAGAAATGGAGATAGACTAAGACTCCATATGCAAATAGCAATGAAGGGCATCTCCATTGCATCGGCAGACCTCGTGGAACTTGAGCTGGTAGCATCAGTGGCCCCAAAAGCTTTGACGACTTGACAGGCAATAGTGGCAGGTACCTATTGCTTCTTACTCCAGTGCTCTTCCATTCCTCACCTTTTCTTTTGTTTCTTTTCTCCCATGTCCATTTTCACTTCTGTTCATTCTGCCAACTTCTCAATGCTCTCCCTGTGTCTGTGGCATAAATTCCTGAGTAAGACTCTGATAGGCCAAGCACTCACTTCATCAATGTTTGGGTGGAGCTTTCACACCAGCTTTTTCACATGCCACGGTCCAGCATACAGATTGGGTCTCTCTGAATAGGTCACCATCCAGGGCTCCTGTGAGAATGGCAGTTTCCCTCAGAAGTGGACTGTGAGTATAGTAGCCACTATGATTGGCCAGTCCAGTGCAACGGTTATAGGAAATGATGAATTATCCTTTTTGATGGCCAACCTTTCTTCTTTTCCGCATATTTCCAAAAGTTTTAGGTGAGTAAAGAACTAAAAAGTTTAGAAAATATAGATTGCTCACGTACTGCATATCTAATTATAGTTTGCAATACAGGTGGTCTTCCAAATAAAAGAACAACTTGGTTATGTTTCAGCCAGGAAACAAGCTGTTTTACTTAACTGGGTTTTTTTGTTATCTGAGAGTTAAGTTACTCTCATGAATTTTGTGTCTTGTTCCCTTTATAGTCCTCTCCCTTTTGGAAATACAATCTTTTTTCCCCTCTTCTCCACTCTGTGTCATCTCTGGGGTTTATCTTAACTGTAATCGGTAAACTTCCATCCAATCAAAAGTATCCTTTAATCATTAACTTATCTGGTTGCCAATTCAACAATGGTTTTTCTTTTTTCTTTAAAGGTATTGTTTGGCAAAATAAACCAAAAAAAGTGTTATTGTTTGGCTTTTTAGGGAGTGTTCACCCACACTTCCTCCACCTTTGATTTCTAAATTGGCTATGGTGGGTCTGCCTAATAAATAACCCTGGTTTTATTGTGTAGTTGTAATCTTATGTAAGTTGGAGATTTGACATGTCAGGTAGTTTCAAATGTGTCTAATGAAAACTTATACTTGTTAAGTCCTAACGCATGTGTGAATGAATAGTTAGTTGACAGATCAACATTTCTTTGTGGTAGTATTTGTCCTGTAGTTTATTAAGCCCGCTAAATATTCAACATTGAAAAAGACCCAATCATCTCACGTAATTTGAGTGAAACATCTAAAAAAGCTTTAGTTTTTGAAGATTGTAAAGATGCCACAGACTGATTTCATCTAAAAAATAGACACTGATATGCTTATTATCAGAGAAGAAAAATTGGGCTGTTAGGTTTTCCAGTGATAGAAGAACTTTATTTATAGAGTTCTTAATTTTGATAAATAGAATTTTTGGTTTTATGAACATTTGATTTTGTTTTTAATGCAGATATGTAAACATTCATTATACACCTTTTTCCTCATTTTACTCCTAAGAAACTTTTGTAAGGCTAAGCTATAATATTAAAATAAAAGACACCTTCTTCACAAGATACCAGAATTGTTAATCAATAAGATAAAATTGTTGGCAGATTATTTGGCTGCTTTTACCTATCTATATAATAAGGTTTTCTCTAATAAAAATTTGAAGAAGTTACAAGCAGATGACCATGCTTACATGAGCAACAAACTATGACATGTATGAACGCTTTACTTTTGTTATCAAGTAAGACAGCCAGGTTAACCTGACACATTTAATGTATGCATAATTGTTATTGTGCTGTGAGGTAATTAGGCATAAATGGTAAGTAGTTCATGTAAATCACTATAATTAGAATTACTTTTACACAGCCAAATCAAGCATTTCTGGAGTCAGGGAGGGAGAGAATTGAAAAGAGTGCAGAGCGACTCTGAGAAACCTGTGTTTCCATCAATCAGGGGTACACAGGCTGCCAGGTTTTTTCATCTCTTGGGAGGAGATGGCATAGCCCAAGAGACCTGGGAATTGTGTGGGGTGTGCATGTATGGGGGGAAGGGGTTATAAAACTCCCTCCTTTTTGTCCTGCTCTCCACAAAATAATTTTCAGTTTTTCCGTATGAGAAATTATTATTTCCAACTTCTTGTACATCCTACCATCTTTTATCTGGATACCTTTCCTTATCCTGCCAAGAACAGTGCATACAACAGGTGGAAAAGAAGTGATCTGCCTTCAATGCAGCTCATCCAAAGTCTTGATGCTTTCCTTGTTCTGGCTTCTAGTGGCTGCAGGCTGTGAGTAGAAACCTGAAGTGTGGGTTGTGGACCTTTCTCTCAGGCAATACCTGAGGCCTAGTTGTCTGGATCCCTTCAGATATTTATCCAAGATTCTTCAGAGAGGCCTCTGGGCAGTTTGCTGTTTTTTCCTCCGTTGCTTTCTTCTCCCCGGCAACTAAGGGAATGAGCATATTCTTCCTCCATGACTCTTCTTAGAACTGGGATTTCCTGTAGGTAAAGTAGGTTGAGCAGTGTGCGTTAGGTAAAGTTTCTCTGACTCCTGGAACTTTATCCTTTAGAAAATTGTAAGCAACATTGAGTACAGAGTGGACAATATCTATAGCTATAGTTTTATTAAAGACCAGAAGTATTTTTAAATGATTTCTTTTTTTGTATCAAATTTTTATGAAAATGGAAGCAGAAGCATATGTCCTAACTCAGTGAAGGCATCTGCAAGGAAGTGAGAACTAGCACATGCCGAAGACTTACTTACAATCTGAAATTTGAGAAACAGAGTGTAGTGGGTCTGCTTTACACTCCAGAATAATTAACTAATGTATTCAATTATACCTTAAATTTTGTTATGGTTCCATGACAAATGGAACTTATGCTGTCAACGTAGATGAGGATGTCTTTAATAAATTTCTTAAAAAATAAATTTAAAGAAAGGGGTTATGGTCCTATTTTATAATATTTAGAATTGGAATTTTTATCTGTTATTATCAGCCAAAGCTGACTACTTTGCTTATGGCAGCAGAATTACGTGGGCCGTAAAGAAGCATCGGTGCCATGGACTCAATACTAAAATTATAGTGAGGTCTCTGGATCAGGGGTCGGCACATATTTTCTGTAAAGAACCACATAGGATATCATTTTAGGCTTTGGGAGCCATATGATCTCCTTCGCAGTGCCTCAGTTGCCATTGTAGTCAAAGCAGCCACAGACAA